AAAGATGACTTGCCATTTAAAAGCATAACAGTAATTAATAGCATGAAGAATCTCAAGATAGCAAAGTAATTTCCAAATATACCCTTTTATTTACTTCCTTTTCTCTGTTACTAATCACCTGGATGCCACAGTACCTACAAGAAATTTGTGTTTTGTTTCTATTTTGAGATTTCTTTTAAAATGCAATTAATATAAATATAGATAAATTAAGGAATTTCATTCTAAAATGATGAATGTAGTATATTTGTATTCACATTATATTTTTCACTATAGTGTTGAATACATCTAGTAAATGGAGATACTTTATATTTGAGTTTTCAAAACGGGTGAGTTAATGTAAAGGTGAATTGAAATGAAGGAATAGTAATGAAAACATGAGTTGAGGAATTCTGGAAAATATACTAGATGTGTCTTAGTTGTTTTTCTTGTTGAAGAGACAAAATACCCAGTACCCACAAGTTAAAGGAAGAAAGGTTTATTTCAGCTCACAGTTTATAGAGGATTCAGTTCATAGTTGGCTGGCTCCACAGCATGACAGAGGGGCATCGCAGTCCATGGCAGGGCAGGCAGGATGCAGCAAGCAGCAAGCAGTCTTTTCCCTTGTATTCCATCAAGGCTACAATCCTTGTAGGTGGTGCCACTCACACTCATTACCTACACCCAGAACTAGGATAAAACAATTGATGGACTAATCCAGTACTGCGCACACTTTATCCCAGTATCACACTCATAATCCACATTCACACAGCCTAGATCTAGCCATCTCTGAAAAGCCCCAGCTATGATCACATGAGGCTTTGGGGGACATATAGATTCAAGCCATAACAAGGTGTGATCATGAAATACAGTGAGTGTTTTTATTTATTACAGTAAAAGGGGCATTAACCTTAATCCTTCTCACAATACCCCTCCTCACTTCAAACACTTTTATCCCATCAGTCTTGTCCATGTCCGAAGAAGATCTGGCAGTCTTCTTTTATGACTGTCTTAAGTTGGGCTGTGCTGGTTGTTTCAATGTCTCAAATCGATTCAAAATTTTTACTTTCTGTGATCATTTTGAGTTTGGGGAATGGCTTGAAGTTGCATGGTGCCAGATCTGGTGAGTAAGTGGAATTGGACACACTGTAATATTTTTATCTGACAGAAATTGCCAAAAACATGTAGAATAAATTCAGGACTTGGAAGAAAATATAAAAAGACACTCGTGAGTAACGACTTCCAGAACCTTTAGAAAGTGGCAAGAATGATGGGATAAATCTATTTGACATGAGGGATTTGAAAGGGATTAATGGCAATGTGTCTATACTAATTTTTAAAACTTTTATTTAAACATTCACTGTATTTTGTGATCATATTCAATATGTTTCCATGCATGTAGGTGTATATGTATGAGGCAGAGGATGTTACCGTATTGTCAAGTGCTCCTATAGCCAGAGGAAAAGGTTGAGAAACAACCTGTGGTTAAAGTTGCTTGGGCCATGATTCTTAAAGGGCTATGGGAGACTCCTGCCTACTTCACTATCAATGTTCTTGTTATTTTGTAGTATTATGTTTTATGAAAGGGATGCCCTTTTTAAAATACATATGTTTGCCTCATATTTGATGGAATCTCCTGAAATATTGATAATTTAAAAAATAATTATCTACATTATTTCAATAATAAAAATAGATTTTGTGGTGTTGTCATTCATTCAACCAAAGTTTCTTGAGCGCCTTCTCTGTACTAACAGTGTACATATAGCACAGTGGCTGAATGTGTATATCCTCAAAAGCCTTATTTCTTTTCTCAGTCAAACACTTCTTATTTTCATCATCCTCTGTGTTGTCTTGGTGTGGTACTGTATTTTTGCAGTTTCTGTGATCAATAGGAAAGGCATTAATATTCACCAAATACCTATTCAGGGTTAGCCACTGTTGTGAGCACTTTGACCCTCACTCCGTTTCCTCCTTCTGACAGCTGGGTGACACAGCCCCCTCCTATTTTACAGCAGAGAAAACAGACAGAATTGTCACCCAGGTTCCCACAGGGAGTGAGGAGTGGTGCTGGGCTGAGTCTGATTCCAGGGTAGTCGGGCAGAAAGCAGAACTTTATCTCATCTGTCCAAAGATGAGGCTGTGAGTTTTCAAATCTTTTACATTTCATTAAAACATGTCTTATTTCTGATTGGTAAAATGTGGTGCTGAACATCCTCTTCCCCATAACCACACTGTATTGCTTTATGATTTCCTAGACTTTGATCTTCTTTGCTATCATTTTTTTTCTCTCTTTGGTGAAGTGGTTCATATGTGGTTCCTTTTCTGGCCCCTTTTCTATTACTGCCTTCTACCTTTCTCTGTATGTCACCATTGTGGTTTTTTGTAAATTGTGTAAACTAGAAATAATGCATAGGATATTGATTTTTGTGGGGTTTTTTTTTTCCAGTATTGAACCATGACAGTTGGAATTCTGTTATCTTTTTGGACTTGGCTACTGTTATTTCTTTAGAGAAGTTAAATATCCTATCTATCTATCTATCTATCTATCTATCTTATCTATCTATCATCTGTCTATCTAGTGTTACTCACTGGTCTCAAATCCACCTCAGATCTCAGTGCTTTTATGTATTTTTTCATAGGAACATCTAGCTGGGGGCAATCAGAGCCTTTCATATGGCCATTGGTGTGTTTATTTGCCCTCCTGTCCCACTTCTCCAGGCCCAGCTCACTTCACTCAACCCCTCATCCGGGGTCCTCCAGTGACACAGATCTTGTTTCAGTTCTTGTAGCTGCCAACCTCATTCCTTCTATACCCTCTCTGACCATGCTCGCCTCTGATGAAACTGCCAACTATCATGGTAGTTCTTATTCCACATTTTAGACTTAATCCTGCCCTCTCATCTTGTACTTCTTCATAGTACCCATCATATAACATTTGCACAGAAAAATTGTGGTGATTTGTTAAGATTTATTATTCTAATTCACTATAAACAACTACATGAAGACAGAGATTCCCTCTTTTACCCATACAAGCCTAAATACCCATCATAGTATCTTATACCCATTATGAAATAAATAAATGCTCGCTGGAAGTAGGAATAGATTAAAAAATGAATCTAATAATGAGCGCTATGTAATGGTTGTGACAATAGCCTCATCCCAGTTCTTGCCCTAATTCTGAGGAATTTATAATCAGCCCCCTCCTCACATGATGTAGGCTGAGCATCAGACCCGTCTTGGGCTGCAGGCAGCAGGTCTCTGTAGCAGAGGTTGGAAGTCAGTGAAGGTGGAGGCCAGGGCAGAGTGGGAAATGAAGCCAGCTGAAGATGCTGAATATTCAAGGGCAGCTACCTTGTTCATTGCAGTATAATGTGCTTGCCAAGATCAAGCACAGCTTGGGAGACAACGTCAACTAAGGAGAGTCCAGTTGGACAGGAAGGGCACAGGAGTGGCAGTTCTGGCATGAAAAGATGCAGGAGACGCAGATAAATGGCAGCATCATGACTCTGGGAATTCTGTCTATTCACAGACAATCTGTTCCAGAGAGCTGGAATCCTGAGAGCAGAGTCCAGTTATCAGGCCTGGCAGAAGTGAGGCTTGGTATCAGCCAAAGCCCAGCAGGTGGACTCTGCAATGGGAATCTGGACAGTTGCACAGACACTGCTTGTATTTTCTTTTAAGAGAAACTGATTGTTTCACTTTTTCAAATGTTGTGAATATTAAATGAAATAATGTAAATGAAGCGATGCACTGAGTTCATAGTAACTTTCAATTTTCTCTAAATTTTCTTATTACTATGTTTCCTAAGGGAGCACAGTTTACAAATGTTCACTTTTCCTGGGATCTTTATTCAAATTTTGACTCTTCATGAGTTGTTGCTGTTACTCAGATAGATGAAAAGCATCAATGCTGAGACCAAGTGGTATAATTTCTGCATAATAGCTCTGTACTAAGAATTCATTTTAGCAGCATTTGTGGGTTGGGAATTCTGGTAAAGCACCAGAGAATGGGGTGATTGTTGAAAGTGTTAATATTTTTGTTTAACCTGTGTGAAGCTTGAGGCCTTAGAATGCTACTATTGTTCGTGATGGAGGATGCTACCTAACTCCCTCTCCTCCCAAATACCCATAAACTGTGCTTCCAAAGTAAAGAGTCTAGATTCAAAGCTACCATGTGTGGGATTCTGTCACATGATGGAACTAAAATGGAACTGTTCAACTTGACTTTCATTTCTTTTCTATATTCTACACTGGCTATTCTTCATATAATTAAAGGTATTTAAGGTATATTAAGTTTTTATGACTGATACGTCTTCAGAGACTTAAGCAAAAGCAGAGATTTTAACTTTAAAAAAGTCTAATGTGTGGGTGAAAAATTCTATGTGTGAGGAATTTTTGAGCCTGTACAAATTGCCGACATTGTACAAGGATGATATAAATAGAAGTGTTAGCGTCTCTATGTCCCCACTTCAAACTTCCTCTCTTCTGTACCTCTGCACATTTTTTGGCAACTTCTTAAGATGTAACCCTCACTATTAGTGAAGTTGAATATTAAGCAAGGTCATTACTCTTGTCCCCACACCTCCATGTGTAGGTTCCATGTAAGTACATGCAATCAAATATGATTTGAAAATATCATGTAGCTGCTGACTTCTTCCATAGAGTTAGACCTACAATGGTTGTGGATGCCATTATTACTTTTAAAATATAGTCAAACAACTGTTAACATGGCATTCACATTATATCAGGCATTATAAGTTATTCAGATATTTAGAGTATAGGAGGGTATATTCATAGATTATATGCAAATACCATGTGATTTTATATAAGAGAATTGGGGATTCTCTGTTTTGATATTCACAGGGGTCCTGGAACCAATCTTCAATCATATTAGTTCAGCTAGTTCAACTGATCTTATGCTATTCTGTGTATAAGAGTCCAAGAATAGGATCTTTTAGGACAGGGAGAAATGGGTGTGGAGTTTTAACAAATAAAGATTTATTTGCCCTTTGTGCTTTTTCCTAGAAGAATCACCAAAAAATCCCTCTGCGGAAATGGTCTTTGGTAAGTCAGTATGAGCACTGAGTCAGCGTAAGAATCTTACACATTAGCCTATGCATTGAAAAATACATAATTCTTTCAAAATCTCAGATTGTCTAGATAATATAATTGCTAACTAGAAACGTGTGGGAGCCTTTTTGAAGTGGTGGGTTTCTGCTTCTTACGGGGACATTTAGAGTTGTGAAAGTACCCCTCTAGGAAGAACACAGTGCTCCTACAGCTGTTTTATTATCTCATTCGCCCCACACATCTTTTATTCTTCCCACCTTTCTATCTCAGCTTATGACAGTGACAAACACAAATTTTGTTCTAATGTCTTTTGGATAAAGCTCTCTGCAGGTGGGCTTTCTTAACACCTCTTACCACTTTCTTAACTCCCCTTGTGTGTCCAGCTGTCTCCTTAGCTGACCTTAAAGTTGTGGGCATTTGGTATTTTGTACGAGTGATGAGAAAGCAACTAATACACTGCCGGCTGTCCCAGACTTCTTGAAACAGAATCTTCATTTTCACAAGATTCCCAGGTGGCTCGGTTCAGATGGAATTCTGAATAGTGCTTGTTTCTAGAGTTGTTCTGCCTTTGTAGACTCTTATTGCTCTTAGATATACAAATACAAACTTCCATGCCGTGACATCCAACATTATTTATATCCTAAATCCTCAACTAAAAAGATGGTTATATATGTGGTGAAAATGTTAAAAATCTATCAGCAAATTTGAAATATACACTATATAATTATGAACCGTGGTTACCATAGTAAGGTAACGGGTGTGTTAGTTAACTTGACTGAAACTTCTAATAGTGAATTTGTCGATCAAAATTTAATATTGTTCAGTAAATACATGCAATATTTACTTGTCTATTCAAAATAAATACATTTATAAAACATAATTTTATATATATTTTCTGCCTCTGTTTTCAAGGCTGCATTACCAATTCTTGCATACTTTCACTATTTACATTCGATTATCTTTTCTCACACATAGCACTTACAGTGTCAAAATTCCTTCACATAAATTTTGCTCTTTGATGCTATCCTACATGACAGAGAGTTAAACAATATAATATTTTGGAGGATATTTGAAAATTTCTATATATAATTTTTTAACTTTAGGGTTGGGATGGAAAGTGAAATATTCATTGGAAAACAGTAGAAGCCAACCTCTTTATGCCACCAGAAGTCAGTGAATTGTTCTGCATCCAAGTGAATAGTGGATCAAAGTAAATCTTCATTGCTCAGTATGATGTGAGTTATGTTTTCACTCATATGCCTTGTCTTCTCCACAAGGCTATAATGATTAGGCACATAATAAACTCCTCATCTTTCTGACAGGGTTTTTAAGATGAATGAGCTAAGGAGGAATAAGCACCTCACTTCTGATACGGAAGAGTCTAAGGAGAGAAGGACCGCTGAGTAGGGCCTGTGCTAGGATGGTCAGCAGTCAGAGAGGCAAAGTTCAACACAGGAATTTCCCTTGAGCCCTTGTACAATTTCCATCCTCTCAGAGGAGGTACAGGGAGGGAACTCCACTGAATCACAGCTGAATTCTGATCCAAGAACCACTGGTTTCATAACTTCGAAAAGTGCATCTGTTCTGAGGGACAGTAAGGAACCTGAAGCTATATTTGGGCTCAAAGTGTAAAGTGATACAATTAAAATGGTTGAAAGAGCCCAGTATGTAGTTATAGAAACACTTGATAACATATTGGTCCTCCTCTTTCTATGCAGAAATGGATTTTACCTTTTCTTCTCCTCACTCATTGAACTCCATTTTCCACTTTTATTTATACAATATGCATTTATTAAATGCTCAGATGTGGCCTGAAACTGCAGTATCCACTGAGGATGCAAAGAAGAAAATGACATGGTCACTGCTCTTAAAAAACAGTCAAGTACAACAAAATGACAATGTTACTGCTTTAAACAAATCCGTGTCCTTATGTATGAACAATATTGTAAGGTGTTACATTTTCTTTCTATTTTTTCTTAATCAAACCACACTGAGTAAAATCAGCTCAGTTTAATTAAATATTAATGGTATGCTGAAGACTGTCATTCTAAACTCATTTGAAGTTAAGGATGAGGACTCTTGCAAAATTCATAAATCACAATGAATTGTCACCCAACAAAGAACATTTTTATTTAAGAATATGGGCTACAATGAACAAAGCTATGTTTTGGCACACATTCTAAAACTCCATGGCAAAAAACAACATACATACATACATATATATATATATATATATATATATATATAAAATTATGGGGTGGCAGCTGTTCAGAATGTAGATGGAAAAATATTCCAGAGGAAAGTTCTGTTAAGAGTGAATCTGTGCATATATAATGATCTCTTTCTCCTTTGTCTTTTTTGTCCTCTGCTTCCTCCCATTTCATCCCCTGAGGACTACCAGAGTTTTCTTATTTTTCCTTAAGGATGATGGTTTTGCTCTTTTTCTTTGTTGTGATTGGACTCTGTCATAACTCAATGACTGTGAAAGAAGGAAGCCCTCAATTTCTTCATTTTTAAAAATCCTTATCTTTGATTCATCAGATATTGGTAGCTCACGCTTGTTCAACTTGCACACTTTTTCTGCTATTTGCTTACTACTTAGACTGATGTGTGGCTGTTGTTTTGCTTCTCATTTATATTAGGGGAAGCAGAATTAGACATTCTCAAAAGGCCAGGGAATATGTGTGAAGTGACACATAAACTAACATTCAGATTTCTCTTGAAGGTGGGCATTGACTAGTACCTTGGCATTAGGCACATTTTTATAAACTACTTTATGATTTGTGTTTAGTTCTTCTTGCTTCATTGTACTTGAGACACCTTTTCCCTTCAACTTATGATTATTAGGATGAGCAAAGATGTTGAGTGGCATTGCTTTATCTAAAATCCTGTCATGGTCTTGTGGACCTGGCTGAAACTGAAATTGACTCTTCTGCACTGTAAGACGTGATAAGCCAGTATGCTGGTAGTTCAGTTTGCATCTCTGAAGCTGCTAACTTCCATAGTCTGAACTCTCGTCATCTCACTTTCTCATGTTTTCCAGTATCTTATTCTGTGATGCTTCTATGCATTATTGCTGCCTCCAGAGTTATGGTAAAAATTCTCATTCTCACTGGACTGCTAACTATTCAAAAGCAGAGACACGGTCTTGCTATTTCTTGGTGATCCAAGCATCACATTATTTCTACAGAGCAGGTGCTCAAGAATGTTTAGTTGAGTGAATGAAAACAATACAAATCTATTTGCATTTAGAATAGAAAATAAATATAAGTTCCATTTCTAAACCTCTTCACCCAAAGGATAGTGAAAAATCAATTATGTTTTTCATAAACTGTTGAGAATAATTTTAAATTTCTGATTTCTTGTGTGCCTGTTAGATTTGATTGGTTCCTTCTTAATTTATATTTTTCTTTCTTAAAGTTCTTCACCATATGCCATTATAGCACATTAAAGAGGTTGATATGGTAAGAGATTACAGCTTTCTTTACTGAAAGGGCAGCGTTCATTCTGGATAAAAAAGATGGAATTGTAGAAGCATATGTTGATTGAAGATGACATGGCTTAAAATGGGATGAATTGGTCTTCATTCAGTGAACCTGTTTTTAACACAGAAAATTGGCTTTTGGTTGTTGTTAAATCACCAATGAAAAGAGGCAATAGTATATGCATTTATTATGGCTTGCCTTATAAATAGGAATAACTAATTAATTGTGTGAAGAATTCCAAATGGCTCAATTATTGCAAATATTCTCTTATTTCCTCCTTTCTGTTACCCATCACCTGGATGCCACAGTTTCTGCAAGAAATTTGTGCTTTATATTTCTTTCTTTTGAGACATTTTAAAAGATGCAGTTAACACAAATATAGATCAATTAGGGAATTTCATTCTAAGATATTCAACATAATAGACACACTATAATTTACACTATAGTACTGAATATATCTAGTAAAAATTAAAAATGGGAAATATTACATCTGAGTTTCTGGAACAACGATGAGGTAATGGAGGAGTGTAATAAAAGGGAAAGATAGTATTGAAAATGTGAGTTGAGGAATACTGGAAAATACACAGTGGTACCTCAGTTCATGATCTCGAGTCTTTCTGTGATTCTGGCCACAAACAGAGTTGGACAAGAACTGAATCAAATTCATTGGTTAGGTTCAATGTTGACCTTATGGGGAAATTTGATTTGCTTCTCATCCAGTTTGGTTTGTGACCAAAATTATGGAGAGAATTGAGTTTATGAACCAAGGTACCACTGTATGTTTGCGTGTGTGCGTGCATGTGTGTGCACGTGCATTTGTGTGTGAGAGACAGAGGATGTAATCGTGGTGGGAAGTGCTCTTAGAGAGTCAAATGAATAAGCTCTGTAACAGCCTTGAGTCAAAGCTACCTGAGGCATGATTATGAAAAGGCTATTGGAAGGTTCCTGCCTCTTTCAGTATCAGTAACCTTTTACTGTTGCATTGTGTTTTTGAAAGGGATAGCATTGTATAGATTTTGAGGTACACATGTTTGCCTTATAATTCAGACTATCTTGCAATATTGATGATTTTTTAAAATAATTGTTTACATTATTTTAAATAATAAAAATAGATGTGTGGTGTTCTCATGCATTCAACCGAAGTTTCTTGAGTGCCCTCACTGTGCTAATAGCATGACACTAGAAGCACAAGAGGATATATAGCTCAAGGGCCTGATTTCTTTTATGAATCAAACCTTTCTTATCTTCATCATCCATCTGTCTTATTGTGATGTGGTACCATGGCTTTCAGCTTCTGTGAACCCTAAGGAAAGGCCTTTACACTCACCACATCTCTATTAAGTGGTAGCCACTGAGATGGGCTTTTTGAATGTCGTCTCATTTCCCCCTTAGGATAACCCCATTACAGGAGCATCCCACTTTACAGAGCAGAAAACAGGCTCTGAAACCTCACCCAAGATCCTTGGGTCTGTCTGGCTATGCAGACAGCAGAACTTTGTCTCATCTGTCTGAACGTAGTTTACATTTGATAAAAACGTGCACTTATTTCTGATTGCTACAATGTGCTGTTCAACATCTTCTTCCCTGTGGCCGCTGTATCGCTTTGTGATTCCATAGACTTTGATAATTCTTACTATCAGCTTTTTTTCTCTCTGTGTTGAAATGACAGAGATATAGAATGTATTATCTAGTCCTTTTTCTTTTGCTTATTTCAGTATTTCGTATTTCTCTATATTTCTCAATCATATTCTTTTTAAAATGTGCACAAAAAGGATACTAATGCATAGGATGATAATAATATCTTTCTTTTTTCCTGTACTGGACCATGACACTTAGATTTGTGTTGCTTACAGAGTTTTTTTTTTTTACCTAAATTCTTCTTTTGGTTTGGGTGATGTTGATACTCAGAAGCTTCAGGTCCATCCCAAGTCTCAGTGCCTGAGTGCACATACACATTTTCTTTATTCGATCATCTGTTGATGGGCATATAGACCATCTCCATGATTTAGCTGTTGGCAGTTGTGCTGCTAAACATGGGTATGCATGTATCACAGTAATGTGATGTCTTTAACTCTTTGGGGAAAATATCTAGACATATATTGCTGGATCAAGTGGTAGTTTACATTCCACCGGCAAAGTACGAGGGTTTTTTTCCCCATAACTTCATCAGTATTTGCTATTTTTTAATTTATTGGTGACAGTGCATTCTTTTTAGAGTAAAATGGAATATCAGTGTTGTTTTGATTTGCCTTTCTTTAATGGTCGGAAATAGCGAACATTTTCTTATGTGCTTATTGGCCATTGGTGCTTTTTTTGATGTGTCATTCATTTCAGTTGGCCACTTTTTGAGTGGGTCTTTTATTTTTAGGGGCCTAGTATTTTGAAGTTTTTCTTTTCTTTTCTTTTTTTACATATTCCGTATTCTGCCTGAGGATGAGCTGGCAAAATTTTTTGTCTCACTCTCTAAATGTCCTCTGTGTTGGTTGTTTCTTTGCTGTCCCGAAGCTTTTAAATTTGATATAATCCAATGTGTTGATTCTTTATGTTACTTTTTATGCAATTGGGCTTCTGTTGAGAAAGTCTTTGCCTATGCCTATGTGCTCAAGAGTTTTACCTATTTTATCTTACAGCAGATTAAGTGTTTTTGTTTCAATATTTATGCCTTTGATCCATTTTTATTTTATTTCTTTTACTTTAGTATAAGGTGAGAAATATGGTATTCTCAGTATGATTTTTTGAAGAAGCTATGTTTCCCCAGTGCATGGTTTTGGCCCCTTTGTCAAAGATCAAACAGCTGCAAGTGCCTGTGATTGTTTTTATATCCCCTATTCTGTTCCATTGATCCACATGTCTTTTTTATGATAGTACCATGCTCTTTTTATCACTGTAGATTTTGCTTGTATCTTAAAATCTATTGTGATGTCCCCTGCTTTGCTTTTGTTGCCCCGATTGCTTTCGTTGTTCTGGGTCTCTTCTGGTTCCATAGAAATTTTAGGATTGCTTTTTCTAGTTTATTGAACAATGCTGTTGGTATTTACCAGAACTGCATTAAATATGTGTGTCAATTTTGGTAGTGTAGCCATTTTGACAATATTGGTTCTCCCTATCCAAGAACAGGCGATGTCGTTCCATTTTCTGATGTCCTTTTTGATCTCCTTTTTGAGAGCATTATGGTTTTTGTTATGAGAGGTCTTTCATTTCCTTGGTTAAGTTCATTCCTAGGTATTTATTTTTTCAAGCTGTTGTGAATGGGATTGTTTTCCTAATTTCTTTCTTAGTAGGTTCATTGTTGGTGTATAAAACATTGTTGATTTTTGTGTGTTTATTTTGTATCCTGCATGTTAACTCTTAAAAGTTCTTTTTTTTTCTAATTATCATGTTATTATGTTTCCCAAATGAACACAATTTAAAAATGTTTGCTTTCCCTGGAACCTTTCTTCCATTTCTGATTTTCAATGATTTGCTACTGTTAGACTGATGAAAGAATCAATGCTGAGTCCAAGTGTTATAATTTCTGCACAACAGTTCTACACTGGAAACTTTTTTCAGTAATGTTAGGGGGCAGCGGGTTGATAGAGCACTAGAGAATGGGGTGTTCCTTGACAGTGTTATTAGTCTTGTTTAACACTGGTAAATCTTGTGGTCTTACAATGCTATTATCACTCATGGTGGGATGCCGGCCTCCCCTCCCCCAAATAACCATAAGTTCAATTCCAAATTGAACAGCCTACACCCAAGGTTACCATACCGGGATTCTGCTAAAGCTGAAGGTCATATATGATTAACTAAAGGGGGGTTATTGACTTTGAATTTCACCTTTTTCCCCAGCCTACACTGGCTGTTTGGCATATAAGTAAATGTACTTAAAGCGTATTAAGTTTTTCATGACTAATGTATCTTCTGAGGTTTAAGCAGTACCACAAAGTGAAAGTAAATAAAATGCCTCATTTTCTGATAGATTTTGTGTGTGTGTGAGATGATTTTTGTTTGGATCTGCACAAATCACCGACATGGTATGAGGTTGTATAGAAGCAATTATTTTGCTACCCCAAATCTCCTGCTCCTGAACCTTTTTGTATTGTTTTTGAAACTTCTTAATGTTAAATCCTCATCATCATTGGCTTTGAGTATGAAGTACTGTCATACACCTCATCCCTACCTTGAACAATGTCCATCTGCAAGTTCTATGTGAACAGATTCAACCAAATATGAATGGAAAATGTTATGTAGTCTCTAACATATACTAGAGTTGGGCCCACGATGGATCTGGATGTCATTAACACCTTAACACTGTATCACAACAACTATTTACCTAGAATTTACATTGTAATATGTAGTATAAGTAATATACAGATTTAAAGCATATGAGAACAGATGCATAGGCTAGGTGGAAATATTATGCCATTTCATATAAGGACTTGAGTGTCTTTGGATTTTGCTATCCGTGATGTCCTGTAACCCATCCTCTGAATATGAAAGGTTATCGACAGTAGTTCAGCCAGTCCAACTGACCTTATTTTACTCTGTGTTTGAAAGACTAAGGATTAGGATGTTTTAGGACAGGGAGAGAGGGGTATTGAGCTCCAAAGTCATTGACCCCTTTATATAAAGATTCATTTTGCCCTTTGTGTTTTTTTTTTCTAGAAAAAAGAGCAGTCAGTCCCACTGGGAAACCGGAATACGGTAAGTCATAGGCTGAGCACTGAGTTAGTCTAAGAATCTTACACATTATTATCTCTTACACATTATTATCTCATTATTATTATTGTGTAAAAATACACAATTCTTTCAAAATCTAGGGACTTCTAAATATGTAGTTAGTGATAATTGCTGATAGAGTCTTTTATCTAGTGGCTGATTTATCTTTCCTGAAGGGATTTTAACATTTGAAGTTGCAAAGACCACCCAGGAAGAGCATCATGCAGCCACTGGTGTTTTATTATCCCCTTCACTCCATACCTCTTTTATTTTTTTCATCTTTCCATTTCAGCTTATAATCGTGCCACACGCAAGTCTTGTTCCAATCTCTGATAGAGATCTCCACAGTCAGGCTTTCCTGACACAGTATTTCACCCATTCCTCTTGTTTGTCCAGCTCTCTCCATAGCTGGCCCCATGTAGTGCAGTCTTGCTACTCAAACTGGTCTGCAACCCAGCAATCTGGGCAGCCTCTGGGAGTTAGAAATGTAGATCCTCCAGCCCTGCCCCAGACTTGCTGAAGCAGAAGCTGAATTTTTACAAGGTTCTCAGGTGGCTTATATGCAAATGAAAGTCTGAGCAGCACTAGCTTCTAGAGCTGTGCAGCCTTTGTGCACTTTAATTGCCCCTGAGATTCACAAATAAGGACTTTTATGCCCTGATATTCAACGTTACTTGGATCACAGATCCTCAGCTAAAAAGATGATCTAATATGGTGAGAATGTTAGAAATCAAATAGCAATTTTGAAATATATATTATTATGAACTGCGGTCACCATGGCGAGGTAGTAGATGTTAATTAACTTGACTCAGTTGTTTACAGTGAATTGATTGATAAAACTTCACACCGTCTCCTGACGTGGTAGTGTATGCTTATAAGCCCAGCACTCTTGGAGGTGGAGGGAGGAGGATTGCAAGTTTGAGCTCTGTTTTGGCAACTTAATCATTTATTGAAAACCTGTCTTAAAATAAAAAGTGCCAGGAATGTAGCACAAACAAATAAACAAAACCTCCAAAACTTCACATTGTATCCCATAAAAATACACAATTATCATTTTGTCAATTAAAATTTTTAAAAATATTACTGTATGTGTGTTTTACTGCCTCTGTTTTAAAACCCCCTTTACTGGCTCTTTTTTACTTTAAATTACCTTTTAAATTCAATTATTTTTCTTACAATTGAATTTTCAGTGTCAAAATTCCTTCAAACAAATTTTGTAACTTGATAGAATATGATCCTGCAAGGTAGAGAGGTAGGCAATGTAATTTTTGTAGAGGCTATTTTGTAAATTTCCATTCATAATTTTCTAACTCAGGGTTGAGATGAAATATTGAAATATGCCTTGGAAAAAAGTAGAAGCTAACCCTTTTTGAGCCATCAGAAATCAATGAATTATTCTGCTTGAAAATGTATCATGAATCAAAATAAGTTTTCCTTGCTTAGTATGATCTGAGTCATGTTTTTAATCATAAACCTTTCTTTTTCCATAAGGATTAAATAATTAGGCCCATACTAAACTCTTCATCTTTCTGACAAGGTTTGAGACAAATGAGCCAAGGAGGAATCAGTACTCTGCTTCTGATATGAAATAGTCTAAGGACAGAATGACCAGAGCATTGCTTGTGCTTAGACAAGAGTCAAAGAAGGAAGAAAAGTCCAACATAGCCTATTACCTTGAAAGCTTGTGCAGTTCCTGTCCAATCATGGCTGAATCATACACCAGAAACTGTTGGTTTTATGTCCCTTAGATGTGTAGCTCCACCACGGAGGAAACACTCCCAGATTCTAAGTGTGTTCTCTCCTGTTGTTGGGATCTGGGCTGTGTGAATGATGCCATGTTTGTCTTTCTCTCTTGAACCACTTCCTCATTACTTACACTTCTTTTAAAGAGTTGAACTGTGTTGACAACATGAGTGAGGTTAAGAAAATCGGTATGCTGCTGAGGTTAGCCCATATAAAACATTCTTCAACAGTCTTCTCTTTCAAAGAGGGTGAGTACCAGGGTCCCCAGTGATGAATTCTCATTTGTGGCCAACTCAAGGTATGTCCTCATCCCTTCTGAGGCTGGGATCCTCCATCAGTGCTGCCACTTCAAGGGTCTTGATCTTGCCTTGAATCCTTGTTCTTCTGACATGATTTCTATCTATGTTTATAAACAGGACTTAATACCAGACACTTGAATTAAGGAAACAGAAACTCTCCAGTGAGTCCCTCATCATCCTCCAAACACCATCCCATTTCTTAAAAGAATTGGTTGCAGGCATGACTCTACTTTCTTCTCTCTTGTTCTGTCATTAGCCAATGCCAACTGGTATAGTATTTTGTCTGCAGTACTTCATGAGACAGCTTTTTATCCAAGTTTTCAAAGATCTCTATTTGGCTGCTCTAATGAAGAATTCTCTAATGAAGGATTCTCCCCACTCCCTTAGTGTCTTTGAAGCAGTTAACATACTCAGTCGCACTCTGTTTTTGAAAACACCTTCTCCATCTGCTTCCATGCCACCCCACCGTCCTGGTTTTCCTTCTATCTCTCTGACATCTACTCCTCTGCCCAATTTCTAATGTACAGTTTGATTGTTGAAGAGCTCTCTGGAAGAATTTTCTCTTTCTGATTTTCCTAGGAGACATCTTCTGTTTCCATATGTTTAGTACCATGAATAATGCTGTTAACCCCTGCATTTCTGTCTCTTGCCCGATTGTTCTCTTGTTTATTCAACTTTGTGTCTCACAAAACCTGCTTTTATGCCTATCTTCCCTTCTCCAAAAAGATTCCATGTGCCACCATCTCCACTGCATGACTTCATTCAAGCCAGTGGCCTTTTTCTCTTGGACACCTACTGTGGTCTCCTCCCTGGTGTCTATGCTGTAGCCATTGCCCGGCTCTGCCCTGCTTACAGCTATAGCTTCCGTTCTTGAAATCAGATAGTTATCTGAGTTTAATAACCTACTGCTGTTTAAAACCTCAGAGCACAAATATTAGTGATTTCAGATTCCTTTGTTCATAATATTTATTTCATTTACTAATTTAATCGATGTTAGTTTGTTTAGTACTTAAATATCAGAATCACAAAAGCAAATAAATTAGCCTACTAGATAGTGCTGTCATGTATATTGGCTAATTTGACCCCCACAATTTAGTTCTAAAATTTTGACTCAACTTAAATATAAAGATATTGTAAGTCTGTTTATAAGTACCAATATTTATTTCAGACTTATACATAATTAATGTATTTAGATCAGTAAAGATTTCTTGAGGTCTTTTGGAGTAAAATGTTAGTTCATTTGATTCCTTAATTTTTAATATAGCATGTTAAACTATTTATGATTTTAACCTTTTATTCTACTATGCTTATTTTAATTGGACTAACATATTTACTGCATCAGTATTAAAGATTTGACACATTATATTTCATCCACATCACTTCATCACTTACAGCTCTTTCATTGATTATTTTTTGGTCATATTTCTCAACGTTACAGTTTCCTAATGTCAGATTTTGTAAGAAGATATTATTCTATCAATTTTTGACTAATAGAGATTACTATAAGATGTTATAGCTGGTGTCAATTCTATTTTCCATTAATTATTTTTTAAGTTTTAATTTGTCCCAAATCAAATTGTGCTTTTTTGGGGTTACCAACACTAAATGATTCTTGCACCTGTTTTGAGTATTTCTCAACCTGCTTCAAAAAAGTTCATTACTTATATTCTTAGAATTCCTATTTCAGTTTTTCATGATAATATTTACCTAATCTAATTTGACTTGGATTAAATTTTATTTTCTGTTGAATGTCCTCATTGCCAAAAATTCAGGGTAAAAATATTCTCCTGTAATTTTAATTTCTCTTAATGTTTTTTCCTTCTCAATCATGATATCAGTGTTACCTAGAGTTGTAACCACTGAAAATTATTGCTTAAATGGATTGAACTCCACATGGAAACTGAGAAGGCCTAGAGAAAGCTCCAGGATCAAATATAAATTAAAAGAAAAGACATTTCTTTAGGCAAAATGTGATGTGTAAGTTTGACATTCTCTGGGCAAGAGCTCTTTCCTTACCTTTGAGCTTTTATACCCCAGGCAATCTAGTCTGGCTTCCTGTATCAGGTAGGAGGCACTGCCTGTTGGCCCAGAATATGGGGACAGCTCTTCCTCATCTGTGTGAAAAAGAGTCTTTGGGAGACTGAGTGAATTATAATGTATAATTTTATTTCAACAAGCTCCTTTATTTTAGCTTTTGGTAATTTGGTGTAAGTTACTGAAATAAATAAATATTTGTTCTTGAAATAGTTTGGGCTTTCTGCCTAACTTCAAAATTATTAAAAACAGATAAGGTAGCTACTCAGGAATGGATTTGATTTGATTCCCTAATGCCTTTTACGTTTTAATTTTCTTGAGAATCAGGAGCACTGAATGTTATGCCCTGTAGAAGGCTTCCTGGGTCTCTGGCTGTGTTGAAATCAGGACAAGCACAATAGTAAAATAGGCTACTATTTTTTTCTTCCTGTTTTGCAAACACGAGCCCATATAATCTACCCAACAACTTTTTAAAGCTCTATTTTGGCCATTTTGGGGTGAAAAAGCTGAGCCATAGCGAGGTTAAATAACTTGCACAGTAACACACAGATCACAGTAATGATCTGCCATAAACTGCATTGTTTTAAAACAGACTTTATTTCTTGTTTTTCATATAAAAAGAACTTTGATTCACTGCCTAGGACTTGGTGTCGAACCTGCAATTTTTCATACATATCCTTGCTACACATAGATAAACGGAGAGAAAGTTTGAGGTATTTGATTACAGCTGGATTCAGCCTCTTGCTGAGCTTTGTGGGTACAAAACCCAACAGGAAAATGGAAGTGATTTCTCCCTATCAGACAGAGGCCACCATCCCACTTCTACTCATGTCTCTTTTCAAACGTGCTTCTTGGTTAGTTCTTCCCTGTACTGCATGCATCTACACAGGTAATCAACACATTGAAACA